GCCAGATACTCATCTGCGCTGCGAGACTACTACCACACCCAGTTAAGGAACTGATTATTATTATTATTATAACTTGAAAATCATCAACATCACGAACTCCAAATCCCATTTCATTCAAATATCAGATGTAATTTCTCGTATTCATATTTTTGGGGAAATCAAGATTTTTTTTTTAATGGCCGTCGTCTAGATATTAACATTGGTGACCCATGGGAGCAATTGTTCGGACTACAAATGTAAACATAAAAATATGATTTTTAAGTCTTCATTTTTCGGCCAGGAAAAAAATAAGTGAGGAAATGTTATGAAAAACTTTTATTGCTTGGTCATTTTTTTTAATATACATCTTTTTTATACTGTTTAGCAAATAAATAATGATTCGCTTCATCTAAAATGAGGGACACAAAATAAGGGTCCAGTTTAATATTGATCTGCAATTGTAAAACAGAGTCTGACATAAAATCCCTAGAAAGTACTGGAATTAAAAAAAAGAAGAAGCTAATATGCTAAAATCTGGTCCGCGGTCCTTTTGTAAGCAGAGAATATTTAATGAAAATATCGATAACAGAAGGAAAGAGACAGTTGAAGTTTTTTGGGACAAAGAATGAGACAAAAGAACTAAGACGATGTAACATATTGAAGGTAAGCAGATCAGGAGGATTGATGGCAGAAAAAGCCAAACAGGGTCGGTAAAGAGACAAAGTTATTTGGAACAACAAAAGACAGGAAGTTGTGAAGAGCCATGATTGCCCACATCCTATAGTATCATGGCACATAAACAAAGAAGTGGATGGATGGCAGAACAAAGAGGAATGGTAAAGAGACAAGGTTACTAGGAAACAAAATGGGGATGTTGTGGAGAGCCATGAAACGTCCTGTTGTGTTATGGTACATAAAAAAGAAGTGAATATATTGGAATGGCAGAGACAAAGTTACTAACAATAAAAAAATTATTTGTTGGAAGCCATGATCTCTCACGTCCTGCAATGGCATAAAAAGAAGTGGATGGATGGCAGAACAAACAGGAATAGAGAGACAAGGTTACTAGGAGCAACAAAAAATGGGGATGTTGTGGAGAGCCATGATTGTTCACGTCCTGTTGTGTTATGGTACATAAAAAAGAAGTGAATATATTACCAAAACAAAGAGGAATGGTAGAGAGACAAAGTTACTAAGCAATAAAAGGTGTTGTGAATGGGGAGAGCCATGATCTCTCAGAGAGTGTCATGGCGCATAAAAAAGAAGTGGATGGATGGCAGAACAAATAGGAATGGTAAAGAGACAAGGTTACTAGGAGCAAACAAAAATGGGGATGTTGTGGAGAGCCATGATTGTTCACGTCCTGTTGTGTTATGGTACATAAAAAGAAGTGAATATATTGTAAAACAAAGAGGAATGGCAGAGAGACAAAGTTACTAGGAGCAATAAAAGAAAGGGTGTTGTGGAGAGCCATGATCTCTCACGTCCCGCAGTGTCATGGCGCATAAAAAAGAAGTGGATGGATGGCAGAACAAACAGGAATAGTAAAGAGACAAGGTTACTAGGAGCAACAAAAATGGGGATGTTGTGGAGAGCCATGATTGTTCACGTCCTGTTGTGTTATGGTACATAAAAAGAAGTGAATATATTGCAAAACAAAGAGGAATGGTAGAGAGACAAAGTTACTAGGCAATAAAATAAAAGGGTGTTGTGGAGAGCCATGATCTCTCACGGCAGTGTCATGCGCATAAAAAAAAAGAAGTGGATGGATGGCAGAACAAATAGGAATGGTAAAGAGACAAGGTTACTAGGAGCAACAAAAATGGGGATGTTGTGGAGAGCCATGATTGTTCACGTCCTGTTGTGTTATGGTACATAAAAAGAAGTGAATATATTGTAAAACAAAGAGGAATAGTAAAGAGACAAAGTTACTAGGAGCAATAAAAGAAAGGGTGTTGTGGAGAGCCATGATCTCTCACGTCTCGCAGTGTCATGGCGCATAAAAAAGAAGTGGATGGATGGCAGAACAAATAGGAATAGTAAAGAGACAAGGTTACTAGGAGCAATAAAAGAGAGGATACCGTGGAGAGCCATGATATCTCACGTCCTGCAGCGTCATGGCGAATCAAAAAGAAATGACTGAATGGCAGAACAAAGAGGAATGTCCAAAAGACAACGTTTCTCGGGGCAACAAGTAAGAGGAAGTTGTGGCTAGTCATGATCGCTAACGTCCTGAAGTGCCATGTCACGTAGTGTGGGTTGACAGAGGTCTCTATTTGTATCATCGGAAATGTTTTGTCTGTTACTGTTCATCCATTTCTCTTTTTTGTTTCAATAAAAAGAAGGGATTTTTCTCAGAAGGCCTTTCATTTTTTCCCTAGCTTTGTTGTGGATTTAATTGTCTGTTTAAAATTTGAACATTTTCTCGCTTTGATGAAATGCAGTAAGATTAGGTTTACAAAAACAAAAATGAATAAAGTAAAACTGAAAACCGTTACGTGACTTCCTTATCTTGCACTAAAATTGCCTAAATTGGACCTGATAATTTTTGTGTATTTATTTAAAATGAATCATTAATTTCGGCATTACTTGCAGGAGTCGAGGCTCAATTTTATTTTCAGTTCTTGACTAATTTGTCTTGGGTATTTTGATCTACAACATGTTAGTTATCTTTCATGTTCGATATTTCTTATTTCTTTTAATTTCATTTGGTACAAAGCCAAGACTATTGGTTCTGTAGGTAATTAAAGCACTAAGTGTCAGCAAACCTAGGAAGAACTGAAATTGAACGGTAAGAAGCTGTTAATTATTATTTTACCATTTCTTATAACAGGGTCTTTAGATAATTATACGGCATATCCCTGCTCTGTAATTTTGAGTCAACATACCAAAGAACCATGGTTGAATGGTGAGGAACTGTTTATCGTCTTTTCTTTTAGGGTGTTTGAAAAATAACTATTCATTCCAATGCTATGAATTATGAGTCAACCAACGAAGATAGAACCTAGGTTGAATGGTGTTGATTTGAAACTTGGTAGGAATGTTGATTCATTGTGTAAGATATACAATTTTGGCGTGAGGTCGAAGAGGAAGTAGAGTAAGGCTGGTTAACATTAACTATTCTAGACCTAACCAATCAGATTCACGACCCATTCATTCATTACAATTTGCGCATTCACTACAAGAACTCGCCTATCAGCATCCAATCCTACATATACCATAATACCACATATTCATAAGGAACCTACAAAAAAAAAAAAAAAACCCATGACATAAACATTTCGACAGTTCAAAAATGTCTCGTATTTTCTTATAAAAATATAATGGCCATGAAATGATGGGGGAGGGGGTGAACCCAAAAAACAAAACTAAAATATAAAAAAAAAACATTCAAACTAAAATTAACGTATGTTAGTAGGACCTGTTCCCCGCATAAAAAATAAGGGTGACCGCTGTATTCTGCCTCTAGACAGAATCAAAATCACTCTTAACAGAGAAGGAAGGGTTAAAAAATAAATGACGGAGTAGGAAAATCAAAGACTGACCCAAGAATACAAAAAGGGGACAGAAACAGATTGGGGAGGTTGGGAATCTCGATGTGGCTCATAACAAAAGAGAATGCCGGGAACAACACTTACCCACTACGTAAACAAATAGAGTCGATCTTAAGCAGGGTTAGGGTTCAAAGTAAACCGCCCCGTTGCGTCCAAGAGGATTTAAAAAAGAAAAATCTTTGCTAGTCCTGTTCACTCGCACCAAGCTCGCCACTTTTACCCACCTTTCGCTGAAATTTGTCGATAAGAAAGGTTTTCCGTCAGTTCTGATCATCATCTTGAGCTGATACCCCAAGAATCCAACTTTATCTTGATAAGAATAGCGTTCGTATTGCAAGATTCCCCCCATTCGCGACGTCCTACCATCATTCGTGTCACAGTAACGTCAAAAACACCAATCGTTTCCTCAGGTAGAACGAAGGCGACACATTATCGCACGCGTATGCGAGATCGATGGTCGATTAAATCATAGTTTTATTTTTTGAGGTTATTTGGTAAAAAAATAATGCAGCTAAGTAATTATAATTTAATCATGAATTAACGTCTTTTTCTTGAATTAATTATAAAGTTTGAATTATCATATTTAGATTTCGACATTAAATGACCCATAGAGGTGTTGATAGACCGCTAAACAAAATAAATAAATCAAACCAGTTACCATGAACAATTTTTTTTCATAGTAAAATAAAGATATATTTTATAATAAGTTTGAAGACATGGCATACATTTTCAAAAAAAACAATAAATAAATAAATAAATAAAATAAAAAAAAAATTCCTAGAATTAATCTGATTTCTTTAAGGAGAAGCAAGTTTTCACACCTCGTTTGATTTTGTAAGATTATTTGATAAAAATAATGCTACTGAGTAATTATAATTTAATCAAGAAATAATGTCAGTCTGTTGAATTAATTATAAAGCTTGAATTTTGATATCTAGATTTTGACATTAAATAACCCATAGAGGTGTTGATATGCCGCTAAACAAAAACAACCAAACCAAACAACAACAAATCAAATCTGTTTTTCTTCTTTTTTTACGCTACTAATTGCTCATGACCAGTATCACTAAAAACGCATCTTGACGCACGTGAATAATGATAAGATTTCGTCATTGGCAAGAAACAATGTAAAATAAACATTTCTAAATAGATATGAACAGAACGCGATAGATAGATAGATAGATACTAAGTAATTATAATTTAATCATGAAACGATGTCATTCTCTTGAATTAATTATAAAGTTTGAATTCTCATATTTAGATTTCGGCATTAAATAACCCACAGAGGTGTTGATAGGCTGCTAAGAAAGATCAACCAAGCAAACTAATACAAATATTTAGATTTCAGCATTAAATAACCCATAGAGGTGTTGATATGCTGCTAAATAAAGTCAACTAAGCCAATTAAGCGATTAACGAACTTTACTTACCTTTCTGAGCTGATATTCCAGTAAAATAATCTAAAAGATGTCTGTCACTGTGTCAGAGGTCAGGAGAATGGCACAATTTCAAAGCTTGCACCATCCTGGGTATGACAATAAACTACATTCGGTAGCAAGGCCTTTGATTGAGGTTTTGAGGAGCATAGAACCACCTTTCAATTACTTTTGTTCCCAGGTTCACCCTGACCCGGGGTGGTAGCACCTCCAACTATGGGCAAATAATCAAACCCCAAACTAGAGTCAAAACACTATGAAAGTATAAAAATAGATGTTTTGTATTAAAAATACGAACAATATATTTTAAAAAAAAATATTACCAGATATGCCGAGGGATTCCTCAGTTACAGTTTCTGGTAGAGTGCGAAATCTGGCGTGATAGCCATTTTGAAAAAAGGCTAGTACGCTTAACTTCCCAGTTACGAAGATCTATGAATTCGTTGATTTCGGCTTTCGAAAAGTTTCATCAGCCCAGATCCACACAAAATGAGCGGAACAAACAATCGTATATTCTTGGTGATGGTTTCTTCCTTAACAAGTTGACCATGATGGTGTTCTATGCTTGAAATGCTGGCATCCTAACCAATCGGCCCCGACACAATAATTGGCGTTTCCTTGATTATCCGGACTTATTCAGACAGGGGCTGTAAAAAATATGTTCGGATATCTTTCTATATTTCTGAGATGAGGTATTATTGTACACTATTTACGTTATTCGGAGTATCGTCTTCACCTTTGTTGCCATATTTATCACAACGTTTCGTTGTACGCTCTGGCCTTCTTCAGGTGGTTGGAATGTCGAACTGAACCCTTTAGTTCGCTCGCTGTTCTAGTTCCACGTGTTATGTCTAATGGATGTCAGTTATCACTTATCTTCTGTTAATTCCCCTCTCTGGACATCTGTGTATGAATTTCTGGGTATTAAAAACCTAATGTTTCAGCAATCATTTTTTTTACCAGTGCTTATATTGCAATTTTTGCTGTTATCATTGGATATCATACACAGATGTCCTCAAGGACACATGGCACAGTGGATAAAGGCGTTAGTTAGATCCAGTGACAGGACCCAAAGAGTGTGAGTTCAATAACCAGTTAAAACAGTGAAGAACTTGTAGAGGGGAATTAACAGGAGATAACTGACACCTGACATCCATTAAACATGGCATGTGGAACTAGAACAGTCTACCCCAGGTTCAGTTCGACATTCCAACCACCTGAAGAAGGCCAGAGCGTACAACGGCCGAAACGTTGTAATAAATATGTCGACAAAGATGAGGACGATGGTTCGAATAATTTAAATAGTGTATGTTCGAATAATTCGTAATTCTGGATAACCGAATACCTAAATTATCTGAAGTTATGGAGAAAAAACTAATTTTTATAAAAGATATTTAACATTTATATCATCAAATGATGATTTTGTCAAGTTTATTCTTGATGAAAGATGCTTCAGTTTTTGCAATTTCGGCTAGGTACACATTTTTCTGTCGCTAGTTTCAAAAGATGGATTCAAGCAGATATATCTGTAAGGGTTACATTTGATTAAATGCACAACCAACTTAAGCATTTGTTAAATATTGTTAAATTGCTTCTTGTGTTTTAAATTGAACACCGGGGGTCCTTTGAACTTCGACATGAGCAATATCTTTATCATCCGTGTCCTCTTCAATATTAAAATTCCTTGACTGAGGTCAAATATTTGAGAAGGATGAGTTCCGATAACTGAAAAACCTTTGAATTTTTTCTTCCTTTCAACTCCGGATTATCGAAGTTCGTTAAATCAAGGTACGATTGTGCACTGTACTACGGTGATCACTTTAATTTAATTATTATTTTTTAATCAATTCACCCCATCATATTCTTTATCTGTCTTGACCCCTCAGGAAGCGTGCAATCATGGATCTCCACAAATTTTTGTCCTTTGTAGCTTTGTTCTTCCAACCATTTACTCAAGCTCATAAAGTATGTGATGCGTTGTTTTCCTCTCCCTCTTGATTTTAATCAGTCCTGTGAGTATCAAATTTTCCAAGCTCTCTTTCCTCATTATATGCCTTAGAAATTTCAACTATCTCTTCCTGATGTTAAGTATAAGTGCCCTTTTCGTTTCCATTTTTTCTAAAACCTGGTCGTTGATACATAACAGATAATAATAGATAACAGATCAATGGTATCCTCAGCATCCTTCTGTAGAACCACATTTCTGTTGCTTCACGTCCCTTCTTCATCTTTGTGGAGATTTTTCATCATTCATTGCCATCTTGGAAGACAGATATCACATATCAGTTTGGTACTCTTTTCAATTGCTTTTAGCAAAATTTTTCTATATCTTGATACTCTGCTTAGCTTTTTGAATGCTTCCTTGGCTATCCCAATACGCCTTCGGATTTCAATGTCACACTTTTCGCCCTCTACTAAAACTCTACTTCCCAAACCATTTAACTTACGGCACTTGTTTGATTTTGATACCTTCGATTTGCAATTCGCAATTTGGGCTCATCCTTTTGCTATTAATATGATGTCTGAGTATCGTCCTTTTGGAACATCTGCATATACTGATATGTATCTGTGATCATTTACACTAATGCTGATATATACATATATATATATATATATATATATATATATATATTATGAAATGGACAAAGTCCGACAATTATTTTAAGACATTTTTATGTTTATACATTCTTTTTATAGATACATTCGGTGGACGAATATTTTCTGTGAAAATTTCTTGGACATTCAGGCCGGTAAATGTTGTTAATACTGTTTATTATAAACAGAGCATTTACTTAAATATTTGTATCTATAAAAAGAATGTATTAACATAAAAAAAAATGTCTTAATATATATATATATATATATATATATATATATATATATATATATATATGGCTCAACATAAATAGACTGGGCTACTTATAAAAAATAATGAACATATTTGAGGAGATAATTTTTGCAGATTGGCATTACAAAGGAAATCATTTTTCTAGCGAATTCTTTCTTCGGATTTCAGTGTCACACTTTCCGTTCACTGTTAGAACACTTCCCAGATACTTAACTTTCCACACTTGTTTGATTTTGGTATCTCCGATTTGCAATTCGCACATTGGGCTCATCCTTTTGCTAATATGACGTCTGAGTATCGTCCTTTTAGAACATCTACATATACTGATATGTATCTGTGATCATTTGTACTAATGCTGCTATATATATATATATATATATATATATATATATAAAAGTGAACATAGAAGTCAACACTTAGGGGCGACAGTCTGTTTCATGCTAGACGCAATCGTCTAGCATGAAACAGACTGTCGCCTCTTTTATATTTACACACGCTCTATCTCTGATATTGAGCACTTTATCCCATATAGCACATCTTAAGACTATATTTCTTCATATATATATATATATATATATATGTATGTATGTATATCCTCATTTAAACCCTGGAATTATATTTATATATAGCTACTCTGAATTAAATTGTAAGGTATTGTTGAGCAATATTTTCTCTTAAGGCTTCAGCTCCTGTGCCGTAGAACTAGTTTGAATTTATTGATCGCTTTTTGCTATACTGACAAACCTTTCCAGACAGGGAACATTTTTTTCCTGGTTTGCCATTCTAGACCTTGGCTGGATGATCTACCCCCCTCTCCCCAACTGCATGGGTTTGGTTTGCTTGTCAAATTGAACTCGCCCGTTGCTATATTGGGTATTCATCTTATTACAAGTCACTGGCTACCTGATGAATGTGATCAAATTAATAGCAGTGGCCAGTCATTGTCGACCTGGTTATTTGAATTAATTCACGTAAACCCGTCAGATAAGTGACTTTCTAACTTCCCCTCTCTTTCCCTCAATATGACCCGTGGGGGTTAAGTTTCTCTTATGGTAATTTATCCACCTACGCATGGGCTATTCCAGTTATAAATAGAAACAGGAAAGTTTTCAGCAGTCAGCTCTGACAGTCGGACCGAACATTCTTGCTGTAACACTCTCGTTTCTCTATGTTTGTATCTGTTATTATATTTAACTCAATTCCTCTCTTTGTGTCTTTATTTCTGGTCCTAACAAGGCCACAGCAGTTTCCTAGCTTACGGTCAAATCACGCTGAAAACACCGGTTCTCGTTCGATAACCGAAGTTAAGCATCGTAGAGCCAGGTCAGTACTAAGATGGGGACCGCTTGGGAACACCTAGTACTGTAAGCCCCAAAAGTCAACCCTTACCTCACAGTCGGTGGGGGGTGTAAACGGTAGTGTCGAGCTATACCGTTCGGAACTTCGTTCCTGGTAGGGCCACCAAGGCGGACAGGTCTGACACACACGCCGGCTAACAAGGGCTCTGGTGAAAATCCAAGGAGCGTCTGCATCGGTAACCGGCGCTTTTTGGTCGTTCCTGTCTCTCTGCGTCTGTGGGGAACCCGCGGCAAGCAAGAACGTTATCCAGCAGGCCTGGGTACCCTACTTCTGTAATTTATCCCAAGAATCTTCTTCTCACAACAGGAAGAAGCCGGCTCAATCCGCCCAGGGTGAATGCCGCATCAAGTACAAGTACAGCAGTTTCCTAGCATTCTTTCCTCTTTAAGTGTCCAAGGAATTTCATTTCCTGATTAAGTATAAGTGTTCCTTCAGTTACCATTTTCTTTAAGACTTCCTTGTTGCTTACTCACGCCATCCATGGAATTTTCAGTATCCTTCTGTGGAACTACATTTCCGTTGCCTCCTGTTGTCACCTCATCCGTGGGGAGATTCTCCAGTATTCACTGTCATATAAAAGGATGGATATCGCATAGCAATCCAGCACTCTTTTCTTGGTTTATAACGAAATTTATCCGTTTCTTAATACCTTGCTTAGCTTTTGGAATGCTTCTTTCGCTCGTCCAATCCATGCTTCGGATCTCGATGTCGCATTTTCCATCCTCTGTTAAAACGCTTCCCAAATATTTAAACTGCTGCTTGGTGTTTATATCTGCAATTTGTAACTAGCATCTTGTTTTTTTTCTTTTGGTGAAGGCCATATTTTTTTCTCTTCTTACAGTTGATGATTAGCCAGTTTTTCTCGTTTGTTTTTCTACTAACCTGTCTAGGAACACCGGACCAACTATCAACACAGAATCATTGCATATCTTATATCATTAAGATTACTCCTAATGATAATGAATCCTGGTAGAGTCTCCAAATCACTTAGGATGACGTCGCTGTAAAAGTTGCATATGCATGGGGAGAAGACACACGATTGTCTCAAGCTCTTTTAATTATAAACTATATTTTTGTAAGGAAAAAAATTCACTGAAATATATCGAATAACTACCAAGCTTGCTTTTTAAATCAAGAAGAATACAAACTAAAACACATTATATTAAAAAAGAAATTTTAATCCGAGACAAAGTTGATATGTGCAAAAATAACTCCTTATTCTTTTCCATATATTTAATCTATAGCTATAAACTATAATTTTGTCAAGTGAAAAACTAACTGAATTAAGTAGAATAGATTCTCAGTTTTCATCGGAAATCTAGAAAAAACGAACTCTAAACAAAGCCATCATAATATATGGAAAGAAGATGTCAGTTTAAACTGACGCCAGGGGTATGTGTTCAATACAATAACGCTAAGCACTATTTAGCAGATATACGCAGATTAATGGTTATAGATATTGTCATGGGTCCTAACACTATGTATACTACGCCTCTCAAGAGAGAGGTTCGAATTGAGTTGAGCCAATAGTAGTTCACTCCAAACCAGACTGACAGTCATACTAACACCTTCCACATCTTGTATTATTATTTCGTTTAATATACCTTCGTTATTTCTACTCTTGTGTTCGTGTTGTTCTTCCTTGGTTTTAACCTGGACCATAACAGATATGCAATATATTAGGTAGATGTCACACGTAATTCAGGAATGGTAACCTACCTAAGAGAAGGAAAACTCTGATTTCAAACTTCTTGTGTTCATATCTAAGAGGTCAGATCATATACATCTTTCATATTTGGCATGCATAACCCAAAATATGTCCGCCTAAAATGATATAATTTATAAGTGTGTTCATCTGAAATGAGCAGGTATCGAAATATTTATAATTATAGTAATGATCGTGGAAACTTTTTAACAAAATCAATGTTTTATCTTAATAGAGTTCACAACATGTCATAACATTTACAGAAGCTTATCTGAGTTTGTTGAGATCGATCTCTCTATTTCTTTACCAATATAAGTCGGTTCATATCTATCTATCTATCTATCTATCTATCTATCTATCTATCTATCTATCTCAGTCTGTTCATATCTATCTATCTATCTATCTATCTATCTATCTATTTATCTATGTCATTCTATTCATATCTATCTATCTATCTATCTCATCTATCTATCTATCTATCTATCTATCTATCTATGTCATTCTGTTCTATCTATATCTATCTATCTATGTTATCTATCTATCTATCTATCTATCTATCTATCTATATCTATCCATTATCTATCTATCTATCTCTGCATATTTAAATTTCCGTCTGTATCTAAATGTATCAATCGATCTTTTATAATTTGTTTAATAATTTCTGGGGAAAAATAACGACTATTTCATCAGATTTGCGGTAAGGAATTTGCCTCTGGAAACATGGTTGCTGTTCATATCTATCTATCTATCTATCTATCTATCTATCTATCTATCTATCTATCTGTGTCAGTCTGTTCATATCTATCTATCTATCTATCTATCTATCTATATATATATATATCTATCTATGTTAGTCTGTTCATATCTATCTATCTATCTATCTATCTATCTATCTATCTATGTCAGTCTGTTCACATCTAGATGTCTACCTATTTATGTGAGTCTGTTCATATCTATCTATCTATCTATCTATCTATCTATCTATGTTAGTATGTTCAAATCTATCTATCTCAGCTCTTTGAATTTTTGCGTATCTAAATGTATCAATCGATCTTTATAATTTGTTTAATAATTTCTGGGGAAAAATAGCGATTATTTCATCTGATTTGCGGTAAGAAATTTGTCCTTGTTGTTCATATCTATCTATCTATCTATCTATCTATCTATCTATCTATCTATCTATCTATCTATCTATCTATGTCATTCTGTTCATATCTATCTATCTATCTATCTATCTATCTATCTATCTATCTATCTATCTATCTCAGCAGTTTAAATTTCCGCGTATCTAAATGTATCACTCGATCTTTATAATTTGTTTAATAATTTCTGGGGAAAAATAACGATTATTCCATCAGATTTGCGGTAAGGAATTTGCCCCTGGCAATATGATTAGGTGCCTGGGGTCAAATAAGTGTTACATTTTAAATCGGGAAAAACCGCTGCTATGGGATTGAGGCGACTTCTTCTGAAGTCAAGATTTAATCCTGATCACAGTTTAGATGCTATAATTGCTGTGTTAAGACACCAATCAATATTATGTAGTATACGATTTACGCCAGTATATACCACATGACATGAATTGTAGTTAATATCAGCAGCTGGTTGTATATTTTTAATGGCTTCTCACAACTAGGATTTTTCTTATCACAAATGTGCAAAAGACACTGCTCTGGGATCGCTGTTTATATATGTAGGTTGTCCCATAATGGTGGGACATATTTTAAATGTAAGTAAATTGGATTATAAAAATGACGTAGAGTACAAAATATATTGATTACATTACTGATATACAAGAGTTCGAAACATTATTTAAGATTTTTATATTTCCTACAGGTAGCTGATATCTCTTGCTGACGGTGGTTTCCAAAAGAAATTGCATACGTGTATATTCTCTTTTTCTTCGTGGTGGTGACCTCAGGAATGTAATATTCAATTCTTAGATAAAAAGTTGAACTCTTGTATATCAGTTATGTAATAAATATATTTGCTACTCTATGTCATTTTTATAATCCAAGATACTTGCATTCAAAATGTGTCCAGTTGTGGGGGAAATTCTTAGTATTATTTATCGGTACTTCGGAAATAAAACTATCTGACAGAAGGTTATACGGTATAAACAAATAACATATATTTATTTTTTGACTTAGATTGGAGTATTACCTTTGACATTCGGTGAAATAAAATGTCCCTTTTTAAGGTGGATATTGGTTGTAGTCAGGAGAAAGTCCGTTTCGGTTCGGTAGTTGAGAGTTTAGAAGTCAGAACTTGGTAGTAGTTATCATCTTAGAAGTAGATACAACGTCAATCTGCTGTTATTTCTCGGCTCTAAGAAGGGCGGGAAAATGTCTTAAGCAGATGACTGATTAATTTTTTTATACGACACACATAGTTTGTTTCTCTGGTGGTCTCTTCTCTTGTTCAGGTTTCTCTAGCAGTGCTCTTCTGCATGAGGGCTGTCAGTTTATATCCTTTTGACAAGAGTTGTAGAGTATCGGCAGGAAACTTGATTTCAACTAACATCAAAAGTCTCTTTGTATTAATTTTTTTGATTGGACAACATTATATTATTTTCCTGCGTTCTTTTCTTGAAATTGTTTTTTATATAGCGGAAGTTATGCGGGGAGCCTCTCTTGTTGTAATATTTTTCTAGTCATAAATGACTGGATTCTAGCCCCGCAAACTTCCGTCGTTTGTCGGGCGGGTTCAGTTTTTCTTCTTCCTTTTTTATTTGAAGGTTGCCTTCTTATTAGTTGGAAAGGAAGTATATAGAGAGAAGGGGAGGGGGGGAAATGATATAACGGTTTTAGAGGAACGCCTTATTTTAATTTGATTTATTTTTATTTTTGTTTATATAATTTATTTTATTTTTATCGGCGGGCACTACAGAATCATTAATGGACACCCTCTAGTTACCTAACGTTTTTTTTTTCCCATGGCTTCATCCTGTCGTGCACATGTATCAGCCACGTTTACCGGACTGCAAATTGCAACCAGGTGGACATTTCTCGTCATCGCCGTACCTAGTTTCTTTGTTGAAACGGCTGCAGAGGCTTCGCCTTCTTTTTCGCCATAAAACGTTCCGTTTACAATTTGCTTCCGATTATCAAACTTGGGATGTGGATAAATGGAAGAAAGTATTGTGAAAATAATACTTTCTTCATTTTATCCACATCCCAAGTTTGATAATAAGTGCTAATAATTTTTTCTCGTCTTTTCAGACGAGAAAATATTCAATCTTGGTGGCCCAGACGGTTTTCAGCGTTACTGGCTTGCAAAAGATGTCCCGAAAGAAATTTCCTTAACACGATACAGTGAAGGTGGATCAATTATGGTTTGGTGTTCATTTTCGTACAATGGAACTCTTGAGTTACAGGAGTTAAAAGGTCGTCAAACAGTTGATAGTTACATTGACATGTTAAGAAAGGCATCGCTAATTACTGAAGGCCCTCATCTATGTGGAGAAAACTGGATTTTCCAGCAGGACAATGCTGCAATCCACAATGCTCTCCAGATTGAAACCCAATCCAGAATGTTTGGGGATGGATGGTAAAGAATGTTTATAAACATGGATCACAATTTGAAACTGTGGATTCTCTTCATGCTTCACTTTATGCATCCTGGGCAAGCATCCCAAACAGCCTCATGCAGAAGTTAATAATGAGTATGCCAAAGCAAATTTTCGAAGTAATTCGCAAAAACAGAGGATATACTGAATATTAAATTGTTGTTATGACTTATTTGTTCTGTATTTTCTATTTTTATTTACATGGTCTTATCTTTATGACTAACCAAAAAAATATTTTTTTTTCAATATTTGTTTAAATTAATCAATTAATAGCTTAAAATGTTCACTTGTTTGTTGATAAACTACGTTGCCTAATTAAATGTAAATGTTTCGCAAATATTGTCGGAGTTAACTCCGCCTTAATTTTCTAACTTTTCACTAGGGCACGCTCTCCATACACTATAAATACTAGGCGATTTCTTGCCTAGTACCCTTTTTTATTTCTTCATTTTCAGCGAACACATCTACAATGTAAACTCTCGCAGAAGATTGCGTCTTCCCATTTGTAGGAGACACCATGAACATTATACACACATACACATACATACGAA